TAAATCTCATGCATAGCTTCAGAAAACCCAGCAGAATAAAACTCGGTTAGTAATAAATCGAGCATAAGGGTTAATAGAATATAACTCTAGTAAAGTTGAGCTTTTGCTAGTTTTATGACTCAAAAGCAGACGAAGCTGCACGAGGACGAAGTAAGAGACTGAAATTCGAAAACGCTTCGCATGTGAAATGTTTCCCTGCTAACGTTCAAAGTCCACGCGGCACGAGACGGACACTCGATGGGTTGCGTTGTTTTCGCACGATAGGGCAATCCTTGATGACCTAAAGTGTGCTAAAACAGACGCTATTGAGGAGACACAAGAGCTAACGCAAAAGCTGTTGACGATTTATGCTGGACTTTCCCCCGGGAATATGAAAGAACCAGAAATCAGAAGCAAACATAGAGGAAAGTACATGATAAGATTGCAAATACTTATGTTATTTGAGTTCAGGAGGACAATTATTCACTACAGTATCAAAAGTAAATACGTACTGTAAGTATATGTACTAATAACAGTTATTTGATGTCTATAAATATTGAAGAGGAATATGTGAAATTTCTACATATTTCTCAGAATACATCTATTAATAGCAAAACCGGTACCTCTATTAATAAAAGTTTTTTTTTGTGAAAACTGACTCCAAACTTCACAAGTTAACTTTGCAACCACTTTATCAAAGCCGATCATTCCTAGCCGAATATACATAATTTCAAAGCTAACAAAGTTAGCATGTAGACTTCTTTAAAAAAAAAAGAAATAAATGTAAATTAGGGATTTACGAAATATTGTGCTATAGCTTACGTCTTCTGCAAGAAAATTTCCTCAAAAATAGGGTTTTGAAGGCGAAACTGTTGTTTACAGAGTGGATCATTTCGTTGTGATTCATCATCAAGAAAAAAATGTTCTAGAATTCTCGTTTTGAATGCAACCCGAAGATTTCAACATCTTTGAAAAAAAAGTCAGATTATTGTAAAAACTACATCTATTAGATGGATTTTGGAAGCTCTAATTGATAACAAGAAGTTTTATTAATAGTTTTTTTTTTAAATTCAATTTTAGAGGATATAAACTAAAAGCTTAATATTGAGACGGAAAGAGAATATAGCGAGATGATTTATGTAACAAGATAC